TGCGATCCAGAGACTGCAGTAACCAAACAACGTCTGGCAGAAGTATGCCCCTCAGGGCTGCACACTCACTGTACTCCATCGTTATCTTCTATTGCTTACGTACAACATATCCCTGCCAATACCTTAGTCATCACCAATAACCTTTCCCACACTCACAAACCTGTCGCCACTGCTTCGTTTAAGCATGATCACCAAGCCGTTCCACTCCTATAACCCGACGTGCTCTATGATAACGCGGACAGTAAGATTTTGTCTGACCTCTGTAGGCTTATATCTCTTATCACTCCCTCTGAGACAGCACATCTAACCACGCAGACAATTCAAAGTACTTCTGTCTCTGATAATGCAGCTGATGCACACTGCTGCAAAGAGTCACTCACGCTGCTTCTCATTAACGTTAGGTTCATCAAACATAAGATGCACCTTATCAACTCCGTCATTATCCCATCCGGCCCCAGGTAGTGTTCATCACAGAAACGTGGCACGATGTTAACACTCCCGATGCACAGCTGCGAATCCCGAGCTACACCTCCTTCCGCAATGGACGTACCAACCACCATGGGGGCGGATGCCTCATGTACGTGCGTGACGATTTCGAGGTGTTATCGTTCTAAGAGGTTTCAATCGGCCCCATGGAAGACTCGGTGTGGATTCAGGCTAGTAGGAGACAGCACGATCTCCTGATTGGCTCTCTGTACAATCCTCCACACACTAGCACAATCGGTATACGCAGTCCAGTAGAACTTTTCGCAGAAGTATTATGATCACGCCCTTGATGGTGTGCCTCGCAATGACAAGAACAAATTTTTATTTATTTATTTATTTATTGCCTACTTAATATGAGATAATCGGTGGTGACTTCAACACGCCACAAGTGGCTTGGAACTTGCAAGTTGCACCACGTAAATACCGTGCCTTTGTGGACACCACATATGCATTTGGGTGGACTCACCACGTGCATGCCCCCGCTAGGCACAATAACACTTTAGGTTTACCTTTTACAAACAAAGTTGCGCATGTATAGCGCGATGATCGTGCGCCATATATCCGGCACGAAACCTGACAGCCAACCAAAAGCAATGGATGGAACACAAATTAAGCTAGGGAAAAGTTTATTGGACGGGAGGAGAGTTAGCTAAAGCTTTAACTGGGGCACCAGAAGAGAGCTAGCTAGGAGTAAGGTAGTTGGGGTCGAGAGCGTAGACGGAGCGTCGTTCGCAGTCGAGTCGCGCGCCAAAGGCGGAGATCGTGTTCGTGGTTCCAATAAACGAGAACAATCTTCCAACAAGCAAACCGCCTAGTTCCTTAACACATAAGAAAGCTATAATCTGAATATATTTTAGCATAGTTTACCCAGTCATACGAGGAATCTCCAGGTCACTTCACAGCCCCCTCCTAGAAAGAAAACCGTGGGTGACCCTTCTATCTATGTGAGGACTGTCCGTCGCGGGCCAGCCTTCTGCGAGACCAGTTAGTGAAACCTGATGCAGCTGCTGGGGCAGAACCAGGCGAACGAACCCTAAGGGGCTCCCAACAGTGTCCCCATAACCGTGCCAAAAACATAAAAATGGGGGGGAAATCGTAAGCGTCAAATGTATGCGAGTTTGTGAAGGTCCAATGTTCGCTCCAGGCTCGTCGTCTACTCCGGGTCATACATGGAAGATAAACGGAAAAAAGAGCAGTGGCGGTGGAGGAGAAGGCAAAAATAAGATTGACACTTACTGGATGAGGTAGGCGTCAAGCAAAACGCAGCTCCATTTTTTTGTCTTCAAAACTATTCATCTTTTTTGGGTATTCAAAACGTTTTGCATTCTTTTGCGTGTTCAAAAGCTTTTGTCGGCTTTCCGGCGTTTTCAAAAGCTTTGTCGACATTGTGGGGTTTTCGTACGTCGTCTGCCAAAAGGGAAATGGTACTCAATAAAAGAAAACTGAAAGGCACACTAATCACTTAATCGCGCTGGCCAAGGAACGCGTCTGCCCGACCTAGTCGACTTGTGCTAATCAGAGGAAGGCGTCGTCTTAGACGTCTATCGGATAGCAAAATTAAAGGAACTGGTGAAGACGTGGCGGTTGGTTCGATGGGAAAGAGCGGAGCTGAACTAGAAGGCTTGGCTGAAGCGTGATGCCTGGGTTCCGGGATGTTGGCAGCAGGCGAATTTTCCATCATATCTTAATTGATTCATCAGAAGATGCGCAAGAGTCTTCCTCGAGCCCAGGCTCCACGTGGGCAAACTTGAGACGGTCAATCGTAGCGGCTTCTTGTTTACTATCACGGTAGATGATAAAAACGCAGTCCTTACACCGCATAACCTTAAAAGGACCTTCGTAAGGTCGTTCCAGTGGTCTGAGGAAATCATTGAGGCGGCGAAATACGAATGGACAACGCTGTAGGTCCTATGGAACAAACGATTTACGTTGTTGTTCTGTAACGTCGGGAAGCTTGTAGTGACGCATGCTCGTGGCAAGCTGACGTGCATAATTCGCGTCGTAACTGGGAATGCTGGGACTATCAGGAAAAAGATCGCCAGGTAAACGCAGTGGTTGTCCATATACTAACTCGGCACTACATACTGACAAGCCGACCAGAATCCTAATGTAATCATTTCCTGACAAGTTTTCTCTACAAACGGAATGCCCAGCCTGTTTACACTACGCCCACTAGAACCCAACGTGTCGTCATGTTTTGACGAATTTATACCTCATGATTAATTTTACAATTTCCAAAGCTTGGACAACTTTCGGCTTACTGTCGATTACATACATAGCATTGTGTTTGTTGCGAAACCTAAATTGCTTGTAAACGTTGATCATGCCTGGTCAGGTGTGTCTCGGAAATTCGAGAATATACTATTTATTTATTTCTTTAGTTACAAGTACGTAGCTCGGCCTTTAGGGCTGATCGAATCCCAAGGAGGGTCACATGCAGCACATCAGTCCAACACAGCGCGTTGGCGGCGCTAAGTAAGGCTTTTAGCTGACGGTGGAAACGTTCCACCATGCCGTACGCTTGCGGATGATGGGCCGTCGTGCGAATGCGTAGGTATCCATTGAGTTTAGGGAAATCGTTAAATGTCGAAGATTCGAATTGCGGACTACGGTCTGTCGTCACCGTGGCTGGACAGCCGTGTGAAGTGACCCAGCGCTCGACGAAAGCGCGTGGTACGGTTTCCGCAGCTACGTCAGGGATAAGGACGGCTTCGGGCCAACGGGTGCAACGATCGACCATGGTCAAAATGTAGACCATTCCTTTGGACGGAGCCAGAGGTCCCACTATGTCGAGATGGACAAGGACAAAGCGCGCTGAAACGGACGGAAAGTGACCAAGCGGAGCGGACACGTGCCGCTGAATCTTAGCTTTCTGGCAGATGAGACAGTTGCCTGCTCAATGCGTAAGACGGCGTTGCTTCCCCGGCCAAACGTATCTCTCAGAGACAAGCTTAGCAGTAGCTTTACTGCCTGAACGGGCGATATTGTGGAGGGCGTCAAAAACGATACTGCGAAAAGTTTCTGGAACGACAAGTCGAGGTCGTCCGGTAGATGTGTCGCATAAACTTGTACTATCAGATGATGGCAATGTGTGTGAGGATATCTTCAAAGAAGGAGCGCGGAGTTCCGAAACAGTATGATCGTTTTATCGCGCGGTGGCCATGGCAGAAAAATCGATTGCCAGCCCGGCAGGGCCAATCGCAGCTACTCTTGAAAGAGCATTAGCGACGAAGTTTTGTTGACTAGAAATGTGTCGGATATCAGTCGAAAATTGGGCAATGAAATCCGGCTGACGAGGCTCACCTGGTGAGTGTCGAGCTGATTGAATTCGGCCTCCATGGGCGTGCCGCGCATAGTCCAGTATAAAATATTTAGCCATTTATTTATTAATGCGTAGATAAGCGGCTTGTGCTCGGTGAAGTTAATGAAGGTTTTGCCTTCAAGTACGTGTTGGAAATGTCGAACGGTGGAGTAAGCGGTCAGCAGTTTGCCATTGAACGTGCTGTACTTGACTTCGGCAGATTGTAGGCGTCTAGAGTAGGTAGCAAGAGGTTTCCAGCATCCATTAGTATGTTGTTGTAGGACGGGGACAATGGCGGTGTCTGATGGCTCAACAGCAACACTGAGTGGAGCATTCGGATCGAAATGAAGAAGCATAACGGATTTGGCTAAGGCTACTTTGCTGGCGTTAAAAGCATCAGCAGCAGCGGCAGTCAGTTCCACCAGACGTTTTTTACGACCACGAAGTAGGTCTGTAAGTGGACTTAGCCATTTGGCACAGTGTGGAAGAAAACGTCGAGAATAGTTGAGCATGCCGTTAAAACGGCGATTAGCGCTAAACGTAGTCGGACCCGGAAAGTCTCTGATGGCGCGGACTCTATCGTCTAGAGGCCGTATGCCATACTGATCAATATGGTGGCCAAGGAATTCGATGTAAGGCTGCTGAATTACGCATGTGTCGGGGTTGACAGTGATGCTATTAGCGGCCACCATATCGAAAAGTATTTTGAGATGTTCTGCGTGCTGTTCTTCAGAGGCGCTGGCAACTAGGATATCGTCGATGTATGCATAGACAAAATTTAGACCTCTAGTGACTGAATCGATGAGTCGTTGAAAAGTCTGGGCTTCGTTGCGAAGACCGAACGGCATACGCAAAAATTCGAACAGCCCAAAAGGCGTGATTACGGCAGTCTTCTGTCTGTCTTCCTCAGCGACTGGAATCTGGTGATATGCGCGAACCAGATCGATTTTTGAGAACACACGGGTGCCGCGCAGGCTTGCCGTGATGTCCTGAATGTGAGGAATCGGATATCGGTCGGGAACAGTAACGTTATTGAGCGCGCGGTAATCACCACATGGACGCCAGTCTCCTGACTTCTTGGGCACCATGTGGAGCGGCGACGCCCAGGGACTGTTAGACGGGCGAACGATGCCTAGTTCAAGCATGTGCTCGAATTCTGCGCGAGCAATTTTCAACTTGTCAGGGGTCATTCGTCTGGCTTTGGCAATAACAGGCGGACCTTTCGTGACGATATAATGTTTCGCGGCCTCAGTGGCGGATGAAAACGGTGTCATTGCACGAAAGACTTGCGGGAACTTCGTATTAAGCATCTGACCGATAGGCGAGCTTGACAGGTTGGCGTATACAGGACTGATTGACTCTATGTCGGTCAAAGTACCTATAACTGCCAGGTTTGTTTGACGGTCGATCAGACGGCGTTGCTTTGCGTCAACAAGTAAATCGAAGTGCTGCAGAAAGTCAAGGCCAAGAATTGGCGTCTGGACATCTGCGACGAGGAAGATCCATTTAAATGAACGTCGTAGGTTTAGATTAAGCGTGCGCGAGCGTTGACCATACACGCGAATGGTGGTGCCGTTTGCAGCGCGCAAAGAACCGGTCGCCTCTTCGATAACGTCATTAGAATCACGTGGGATAACGCTGACTTCTGCGCCGGTGTCAACGAGATAGCGTACTCCCGTACTGCGATCGGTGACAAAGAAAAGGCGACTGGGGCAGCCAGCAACGTCCGTCGCCCCTACGTGCTGGCCTACCCGTTTCCCTGCATGTTGCGCTTGAAAGAACAAGGTGGGCGACACGATCTGGCCTGATGACCAAATCGCTCGTGGTACCAGCAATAGCTTGACCTAGGGGGAGATTTCGAACGTGATCTAGGAGGACTGCGACTACTGGGACGATTTCGGCGGTTGGATCCGGATTGTGTTAGCTTCTCTAGTCGGTTGGTTAATGCGGATACTTGCGCTCTTAGTTCTGCTACCTCTGTACTGGAGGTAGACTGAACCTGAGATATTTGGGCGTTGGATTCCCAAATACGGTCGGCTATATCGGCTAGCTGAGGAAGAGGCGCATCGTTTGCATACAAGGGATTGCGCATGTCACGTGGCAGGCAACGAAGCCACATCTCTTTAAGGAAAGAGTCGCCAACAGCGAGAGGCTTAGCTAGAGCTTGCATCTTGTGCAGCAACTGCGAAGGCTTTCGATCCCCTAGCTCTGTTTCATTAAGAAGCTGCGTGACGCGAGCATGGTCTGATATGCCAAATCGCTTTAAGACGACGGCCTTAAGCTCCTCGTAACTTTTCTGATGTTCCGGAAGTTCCAAGATGTCGTCGAGGTCATCGACGACTTGCGGGGGAAGCGCGGCGACAACGCAGTGAAATTTGACGCTGTCAGAGTTAACGCCATGTAACGAAAAAATAGACTCTAGCTGGTTAAACCAGGCCTTAGGGTTAGTCTCTCGGAAGGGCGGGAGAGGGAAACGGAACCCACAAACCTGATCGTAAGAATCTGGGCGGCTGACCTTCATGGTGAAATAATTCCGGAGCGTGTGAATGTGAACACAAATAGTAAAGAGAAAAAGTAGAAAGGTCGACAGAATAAATAACCGGATCTGAAAAAAATATTAGTACCGAACTCACCAAAAATAGTTTTTTTTTCGGGGTCACCAATTATAGCGCGTAGATCGTGCGCTATAAACTCGGTACGCGACTAGACGGCCAACCAAAAATAATGGATAGAAGACACAACAGTAAGCTAGGGAAAAGTTTATTGGACGGGAGGAGCGTTAGCTAATGCTAAAAATAGGGCACCCGGAGAGAGCTAGCTAGGGAGAATGTCGATGGCGTCGAGTGCGTTGACAGAGCGTCGTTCGCAATCGAGTCGCGCGCGCCAAAGGCGGAGATGGCGTTCGTGTTTTCAACAAACGGGAACAACGTTCCAACAGGCAAACCGCCTAGTTCCCTAATACATAAGAAAGCTATAATTTGAATGTATTTTAGAATAGTTTACACAGTCATACGGGGGAATCTCCAGGTCGCTACA